ACCACATTTGCTTATGCACCTATTTGTCTTCAGTGATCCCTTCGAGGTGTTAAATTTTTACTTACTGATTGTGATAAGAGTTGTATGAGCCCCCAATAAAATGATTTTTTTTTAAAGTCATTGTCTAGAAAATAATGATGGCAACATATGTACAAATATGCCTGATACAATTGGTGTATGCATTGTTGTGAGAGCTGTAAGAGCCCCCAATAAAATGATTACATAAATAACTTTTTAAAAAGAAATTTTTTTTTAGCTACCTTCTATCTCCAATGCACTCTCCATGTAGTAGGATTATTCACATCCTTGGTTTATGGTCAGAAGGGATTCACCAGAGGTTTAATCCATGTGTATTTCTTTTTCCTTCACTTTTAAAATTTTTATTCATTCTCTCCCACTTTTTTTTTAAACTGGAAAACTTTAAAATGAGTCAAAAGGGAGATCAGATAAGATATTACATTTTCACCTAACTGCATCTGCCAGCATCAAGTTGAAGATTACAATGCTCTCTGTCTGATAAAAGGCTATTCTCACCTTTGACTGTGGTCAGAGGGAATACACTGGAGACTTAATCCATGTGTGGACCCTGCAAATGGATTTTGGAATTCCACTATCATCCATAGGCTTCTGAAAACCAGGTGTTCACAGTTTAGACCCTGATACCATTCCCTCTTTTGGATTTTATTATTTACAATCCTAGTATCACACAGGCTGGGGTGCTTCTTTTCATGTGAATTTAGTTGATACAAACTTAGTTTTTCAAGTAATAAACATTTCTCCCTATCAAGGAGTAACACAACCGAAGAAAACAGCTACAAAATCTATCAACTTGAATGAAGTGTACTTACACAAAACTTGTAGGTACATACAATGGCTCAAAATAACAAACAGTTATAGGAAGAGCTCCAGGATATGGACAATCTGAGTAGGAGCCATGGGAGGGAGGTATATTCAGTGGATAAAGAACCACCACTTCGTTGTCCAACCCCAGGGTGAGGGTGGCCCAGGGCCAGCTCCTGAAGCTCCCCCGGCAGCTGGGACTGAAGGGCAGAGAAGTCTCGGCACCCGCCAGTCCAGTTTCCGGCCTGGGTAGTTAAGGCGTTCCTCTGAAGAACATTAAGCACTTGGCAGAGGTCTCACTCACTGGCTTGGTCCTGCCTGTGGCCCTGGACTTTGGGGTCTTCCAGATATGCACATGTGAAGGTAGGGGCACAGGCAAGGGCGAGACCTGGCTTGGCAAGAAAGGGGTTAGGGGTTTCCTGGGTGGTCCCTTCTGGAAAGGTCTTGCAAGGTTCTGGGTGTTGGGTCCTCTGAGAGCTGAGGGAGGGCTATAATTCCTGTTTCCTCAGCACTGGTAGTCATCACCTGGAACAGCTCCTGCCCCACCTGCATGCATGCCTATCTGTGTGATAGTGAAAAGCAGTGGCCCCCTTCCAACCATCTCTCTGTGATTGACCTCACAGGAAAAAGTTAAGGACACCCCCCACACACACACACACACTCCCCGAAACATAGGCTACAATGAGTATGTGCACTTTATGGTAAAGCACATCAGAACATCATCATCATTGTGCTCTTATGTGCTCTGTACATGGAAGTATTTCTTTCATGTTTTTATGTGTAGAAAGGTCAGTGCACAGTATGGTAAGCACTGGACTAGCTGACATTACATACAAACTGCCCCTAACTATTGTGATATGGATCCAGCCAAAAGACAGAGTTAGAAATTAATCCCTTTTGTAGTTCAGAGACTGCTGGTAATAAACTAACAACCCAAATAACAGGAACTTGAGAAAGGAAAAAGAAGAAGGACACCATAACAAGTATTGGTGTAAAGTCACCCACCGTCAGAACAAAAAGGTGTATGTTTCTAAACTTCAAAAGAATATTTTTTAAATCAAAGAAATTAGAATAAATGAAGAGCTAGTGCAAGTAAATGAAAACTGGTAAAGATATAATACTGTGGAATTGAGACCACTTACCAGTCCTATGAATAGGCTTCGCTCTCATAATTTTAAGGAAAACTTTTTTTTAAGTTCAAATGGACTCACATAGCAACACCTAACCACAACCTTTAGGTTACAAGTGCAGCTCAAACTGTGTGCTGGCCAGGCCCTGACGTCAGGCTAGATACTCAGTGGTTCTGAGTGTGAACTGAAGAATCAGGCAGAGGACTATCAGGCAAGTGTTTGTGGTACCTGCTGTCTGCTATGCTTTTATGTTTTCCCTTTTTTGTTACAGGAAACGATTGATGTAATTGTGTTCTTTGAAGGTTTGGTAGCATTACCCTGTGAAATTCAGTGGGCCTGTTGTTTTTTGGGTGCAGTAATTCTTTGATAGCCTCCCTTTTTTTATGGAAACCAATTTTGGGAAATGTAATTTACATAAATTATGCATTTCATCTAGGTTTTCAACCCTGTTTGTCAAAAGTGGTGCCAAATGCTCTCATGATTTTTTTCTGATGATCTTATTAGATTTTTGTTCGCGTTTGTTAAAGTCTGCTTGGCTGTCCTCCAAGTCACTGGTGTGGTTCTCTGCTTCCTCCAGTCGATTCTCGAGGTCTGTGTTTCTGTTACTGGTTTTTGTTATCTCCTCCCTAAGCTCCTGTATTTCCCTTTGGTGTATGGACTGTATCTCCTCCTTATTTCATCCTTTTTCTGTATTGTTTCCTTCAAATCCTGTATGACTCCAAGCAGCATTCTGAAAATTTCTTTGTGTGGCAGCTCAATGTCTGCTTCTTCTATGCATGTCGTAATGTTCAGGACATCTTCTGCCATTGCCTTTTGTTTCTCCTGTTTTTTCGTTGAGGTCACTGGGGCTGATGGCTGTTTGCGTTACGTTGTTTTAGAGGAGCCAGGTGCCATTTTCCAGGGAGTCGAAGAGCC